ATCACAGAATCACAGAATCCTGGACTCACAGAATCCCAGACTCACAGAAACACAGAATCCCAGAATCCCAGAATCCCAGAATCCCAGAATCCCAGACTCACAGAATCCCAGAATCACAGAATCACAGAATCCCAGAATCCCAGAATCCCAGATTCACAGAATCCCAGAATCCCAGACTCACAGAATCCCAGAATCTCAGAATCCCAGAATCCCAGACTCACAGAATCCCAGAATCACACAATCCCAGAATCCCAGAATCCCAGAACCCCAGAATCTCAGAATCCCAGAATCCCAGACTCACAGAATCCCAGAATCACACAATCCCAGAATCCCAGAATCCCAGAACCCCAGAATCACAGAATCACAGAATCACAGAATCACACAATCCCAGAATCCCAGAATCCCAGAATCACAGACTGACAGAATCCCAGAATCACACAATCCCAGAATCCCAGAATCCCAGACTCACAGAATCACAGAAAAATGAGGTTGGAAGAGACCTCTAAGATCATCAAGTCCAGCCTATGCTGACACCACAACTAGACTATAGCACCAAGTGCCATGTCCAGTCTTTTTTTAAACACATCCAGAGATGGTGATTCCACCACCTCCCTGGGAAGACAATTCCAGTATTTTATTATTCTTTTGGTGAAAATTTTTTTCCTAATATCCAACCTAAACCTTCCCTGACGTAGTTGAGACTGCGTCCTCTTGTTCTGTCAGTGCTGCCAAGTGGAAGACACCAACCCCACCTGTCTAAACCTCCCTTCGGGAAGTCGCAGGGAGTGAAATCCCGGCGTTTTCCGCCTGCCTGGGATCTCCGGAGCTGCTGTCCCAGCACATCCCTGCCCGCTGACAGCACCCTCCAGGCTTGGCTTGCACCCTCCTGCCTGGAGGCTGCGCTGCTGCTGTCACCTGCCAAAGGATGGAGTGGGAGCCTTGGGGCCTCTGGAAAAACACTCAGCCCGGGAAGGTGCTTGGGACAGGGCGTTCCAGCCATCAGGAACTCCTGGGCAGATTTGGAATCCTCCCTGAGCGCACCAGAGGTGCTGAAGATGAAACGATTTTGACTTGAAGCTAGATTTTCAACCGGAATTGAAACTTCCATCTGAATCTCAAAGCCTGACCCTTTAAAACTTAAATTTGAATTAAAATATTAGACTTAAATGGCTACAATTTCCTGGACATGTTACATATTTTTTTTCTTTTCTTTTTCCTTGCAAAATAATGTTCCAGTTTCATTCTGGAAAACAAGAAGAAAAAGGGAAATCTTAGGAAGTGTTAAAAAAGGAAAAATGTACACTGATATTATTTTGCTATAGGAAAAAATTGTGCAATAAACCACTTTTTTTTTGTTAAACCAGTAGGAAAATGTTACAATAAATGCCAAGGAATAGCAGAAATGGAGGACGGGGGGAGGAAGGTGCCAGCAAGGAGAGTGTGACAAGTGGGGACGTGATTGCTCAGTGAAGGAGTTGTTTTGGAGCTCCGTGGAACTGCAGGTCAGAGGTGGCAATTCCGTGCTCAAGTGGCTCTCCTTGGATAAAATCACCTCTCACATTTCATCAAATTCCCTGTCCTAACCCCAAAATATTCCAGTTATCAGGGCTGGGATTCCTGGGCCTTCGCTGTCCCTACACAAACAGTGTGGCAGCTGCAGGAGCAGCCTCTGGAGGTGTCTCCTTTTCCCTCCTGGATTTTGGAAAAGCTGCAGGTGGCTGGAATCCTTATTTAAACAATTCAAATGACTCTCAGAATCCCAGACTAGTATGGGTTGGAGAGGACCTTAAAGATCATCCAGTTCCACGGGCAGGGGACACCCTGTGGGCTCAGAAAATTTAATTGTGGATGTGACTAAGGAACATAAAAATAAAGGAAATAAGGTGGGAGTGGCATCTGTCTGCCAGGGGGATTTGGCTCAGCAGAAATTGCCCAGGAAAGGCACCACCTCACCCATCCCAGAATGAAATCCCCATTCCCACTCAGGATTACCTCCTTCCCATGGACCAGCAGGATGTTTGGAAAAGTTCTCTTGGTCCAAAATCAAGGAGAACCAAAGCTGGTGGACGGTTGGGGTTGGAAGGGGACCTTGAAGGTCATCCAGGGCCACCCCTGCCATGGGCAGGGACACCTCCCACTGTGAGTTTGTGGGCCCCAAGTTGGGCAACTCCCTGAGACTCCCCTGGAGCAGTTCTGTGTCAGGAACCAGAGACACATTGGACTTTTTCGGTCTTCAGCTTCTGTTTATTGTTACCTTATCAAAACTTCAGCAGACTGTCTGCACCAGACTCTGTGTGCAGGAAAACAGCACAAAAATGGCCAACAACCTCTTGTTGCAAGGTCTTTTAAGTCTAATCAAAAACTAAACTACCCAATTAAGAAGTGACACCTGAATTATTTCCCTTTCTAACCTAGTAACTGACCCCTAAAGACCCGAAATCCGGATTTTTCCACCCATTTACAAGATACCACCCAAACCCAAGAAGAAAGAGGAAGAAGAAGAGAGAAGAAAGGAACTCAAGACAACACCCTATATCCTCCATCTTGAACCAATCTATAACATACTAAAAATCCTAAAACTTAAATTTCTCACCCATGTGATGTACTCCACTACTGTCTACAATCTATTTCCCACTTTTGTGGTTCCTGGTTTACCTTGAGGCTTTGGAAGTTTTCTCCATGAAGGAGGGTTGAAGTCGGTGTTTTCCTGGGGGTCAGGGTACCCCAGGGCAGACAGGGGGATGTTCCCCTTGCCCTGAGTTTCCACATCCCACTGTCCCAGGCTGCTCCAAGCCCCATCCAGCCTGGCCTTGGGCACTTCCAGGGATCCAGGGGCAGCCACAGCTGCTCTGGGAATTCCATCCCATCCCTCCACCACCCTCATAGCCAGGAATTCCTTCCCAGTATCCCATCTAAATCTATCATCCTTTATTTTAGTCCTCATTTTTTCCCTCGGGAAAAAAAAAAAAATGAAAACAAGAATAAGAAAAAGGCAATATTTAAAATTCTGGTTATTCCAGACCAGAGTTTGTGTGCTCAGTGATTTTGATGAAATTCAGCATTTCAGCAATGGTTTTATTCCTGCTGGTTGGTGATGGGTGAAGGATGATGCTGGTAATCCATCCTCATCCAAAATAAAATGATTTGAGGGTGGAAAAAGGAGAAAATAATAAAGTTAATCAGAAAACAAATTGTGAAGGGAAAGACAACTTAGTGCAAAGTGTGGTTAAACACAACTCAATTCTCTGTCAGACCGGGAAACTCAATGTTAATGAGCCCTGGGATTTTTTTGGGTTCTGGGGCACACGCTCCTGTCCATAAGCATTCCAAATAAAGTCAGAATCCTTGGCTCATTTGCATGGAAAAAAACTTTCCTGACCCTCCAGCTGTTCTCGCCCCGGTGTTTGCAGTTTTATAACTCAAATATCAGCTTTTGTTCGCTGGCCAAGCCCAATGAAAACATAATATTTAAATACAAGCCCCATTTACCTTTCAAGGATTTTTCCTGTCCAAAAAATTCCTGGTAATTTGTGTCGAATCCAGGCCCTGAACTCATTATTCATCCCTTCCCCGTGCCTGTTCCTGTTCATAGGCGCTAATTCCACCGCTGTGACATCATCACCGTTGCTGTGGCGATGGGCGGTGATGTCACAAACACAAGACAATAGCCCCTGGGTAGGAATGAACCAGTGGGAAAAATGAGTCAGGAATGAAGGGAAAGGGACTGGAAAAAAATACCCCAGGATCCAAACTCCCCACCAATGTTTTCACCTCGATTTTCCTGGGATTAGGGGCAGACGGGGAGCACTGTGTTGGATTCCTGAGGGATTGTGTTGTGTTAGGTGAGCGGGATTGAGTCATGCTGGGTTGATTTCTCCCAAGATGTGGGGTGTTGGAGTTTAGAAGTGGAGGAAAAAACTCCCTGAGGTGAAGATTTCAGCCTGGACCTGTATAAATAGGGGGGAAAAAAGGAAAGGAAAAAGGCAGGAATGGCTAATTGGTTGTTGAATCTGCTGTCTTTGGTAATGCAAATAATGTATTACTATTTATATAAATTAAATATTGAGATAGATTAATTTTAGTTGAATATTTAGATAGATTTAGAGTAGCTTTTAAGAAGGAATTCTTGACTGTAAGGAGGGGACAGGTCCTGGTACAGGTTTCCCAGAGCAGCTGTGGCTGCCACTGGATCCCTGGAAGTGTCCAAGGTCTGGCTGGACACTGGGGCTTGGAGAAACCTGGGATAGTGGGAGGTGTCCCTGCCCAGGGGATGAGACGATCCTTAATGTCCCTCCAACCTCAACCATCCTGGGATTCTTTGATTCCATGAATGTATTTCCTTTCTTTGACTGAAAATTCCAGCAGGAAGCAGCTAAGAGGGAAGATGTTTTATTCTCCATGCCTTCCATGCAGATAATTGCCTGAATTTTCCTTCTTCCTTTCTTTTCCTTAGCTTTAATTATCCCCATCCCCCAATCACTTCTCCAAAATATTTGTTTCTTTTTTTCCTAAACACTGCTTAGTAAACCACAAATTTCTTCAGGATCTCGGCAGAAATTTTGGGATTGGAAATTTAAAATATAGCTGTTAGTTTTAAATGTGGGATCCTTCTGATACCTCAGGTTTCAGCTTTTCTATTTTCACATTCTGTGCTGTTTTACTCTGTGGGTCTGTGCTTCATATCAGGGGATGCTGAGTTCTCTGCACAGAGCAGGGAGACAAAACAATTCCTTCTCCAGCTGGGCACCAAGGACAAATGATCCAAATCTCAGCCCAGGAGCACAAACACCGTGGGCTGGAGAGAGAAAAACAAGCAGGATGGGACTGCCTGGGCTAAAGCTGGAATGGGACAATGAACTCCAAGGTGCCAATGGAGCAGAACTGATCCCAGGGAGAGCCCCCGGGAGCGCTCGTGCATTTTGGGTCCATTTTGGTTCATCTTGGGTGCAGCCCTGGCTGGGCTCTGGTGCTGCCCAAGGTGGATCCATGGAGGAGATCCTTTAATAAATCCCTGCTTTATTCTTTAGCTCTGTCCAGCCTCTGTTCTGGGTCAGCCTGCACAAGGCATCACTTCCTCCCTAACTTTTATTCCTTCACTCACATCTTCTCCCCTGCATCCATTTCCAGGTCTTCGTCTGTGGATTTTAGTTTGAAGGGCTCCCAGTCCCTATTTTCAAGTGAGATCTTTACCATCTTAAACCAATCCCAAAGAATTGTGAAGCAAAAATAGTTCCCAGTCTCCAGGGCTTTTTCTTGCTGTGCATTCCTGAAAACCTGGCTGTGAAACCATCCTCTGGATTCTCCCTCCCTCTCCTGTTTCCCACAGAAGAATCATCTTCACCTCACCGAGGACTTTGCAATGTCTGGAAATAAACAGAGGAGCCCTGGGAAGTCCGGGAAACATCAGCTCGTGGTTTCTGCAGACATCTGCAGAAAAAAAATCCCAGAAATTCCCATGGCTGCCAACAAATGGAGTTTTACAACACTCAGACGTGCCAGGAAAAGGGTCGAAGATCAGGCTGGATCCAGGTGGCCAACTGGGCTAGTGAGGGCTTCCGTGCCAGTTCCTGCAGCCAACAGCTCAGGAGGGAGTGATTTGGCCACAATTCCGGACATCTGCCTGGAGCTCCAGAGCCCAAATGACCGGATACCCTCGGCAGCTGAGTCAACAGCACAAGTGCAGGCAAAGCTCAGCTTTTCAAGAGGCTTCAAAAGTGGTGATTTGGGCTGGGAAGTCAAGGATGGATGGGCCAGATGTTGGTGAGATCCCTGGAATGCTCCAGAGAGGGTTGATATTCCCTGTGTTGTCTCCCTTCCATCCTACTGGGAATGGGTTTTGGTGTTGATATTTGCATTCACACTCCAAAAAAAAAAAAAAAAAAAAACCCAAACCCAAAAAACCCGAAAAATACCGCCCCCCCCCCCCAAAAAAAAAGGAAAAAAAACCCCAAAGAAAAATTCAAGATGAGAAAAGTGGGAACTGAGGCCAAACCTGAAAAGGAATTTCAGGATGTTCCAGTGATTTAAGGCAGTGATGGAAGGTGTTATTTTTGTGACTTTTGTGGAATGTTCATGCTTTACTTCAATTTGGTTTGACTTTATTTGGCTCTCCTGGATGATCCATCCGTGTCACTCATCCCAGTTTTTAGCAAGATACGGGATACAATCAGATTAGCAGGGATTTGAATGAATACAAGGATACAAAGTGGAGTTTTATCCCTGTGGAATAACCAATCCTCTTTTCCTCCATGGTTCCTTAAGGCCATGGGATCATTTAGTAATGTCCAGAGTTCATGAATTATTCTAAAATCAGGTTTTTCTGCTTTTATGTTTGAAGATAATGAAATGACCACATTCTCCAGGGACTTTTATGCTCCCGAAGATTAGAATTAGGGAAAAAATAAACAATCCTTCATCTCAAGTAACGTTGTTGCACTTTTGGAAAGTAATTCCTAGAAAGGTCAGATAGATTCCTCAGAAATATTGTGGTTATCCATCCCATTCTTTTTAAATGCCTCCAAATCTGGCCAAAATAATCTAAAATCAATTTATTCCGATAAAAATGAATGGGGAGACATAACAGCTCAGACCTAAAAGCTCTTTAGGAAGAAACCCTTGAGAGATGCCTAAAAACAAACATGGGCATTTTCCCCCTCAATATTCCTTTTGATCTTCCATGGGAATTTCACAAAAACCAGGGCTGCTGATTTTGGCCATCTTTAGTTTCAAATGGCCAAATATTTGTCCAGAACTCCTTTTTCATGTTTTAAGAACTCACTTTCCATTCTCAAAATCTGTCAGGACTTACAGTGGAGAGGTGCTTTTTAGGGATATCTGCTTTTTAGGAGCAAAAAAATATTTGGATGCAGTTTCTGGGTCAATTCTAGGAATTACTGGGGGAAAAAAAAATCTATTTAAGAATGCAGCAAAAGTCTTCAGGTTTTTAAATGATCAGGGGATGGTTTTAACAGATTTTAAATTTTGGATTAATAACAGGAGTGACTGCCAGTAAATCCCAGGAATTAATCCTGCTTGATAAATTATTTGCAGGATTGGTCACCTTCAATTTTGGGGTTTTTTTCACCAAAATTTGGTAAAACCGGGATCAGCTCAGGAAGTTATGTGGCATTTGGAATTTGGGCGAACAACAGAATCTCAGAATTCTGAGATGGATCAGGCTGGAAGGGAGCACAGTGGGTCTGGAATTCCATCCCCCTGTCCCATTCCAGAGCACATGGGACGTGTCCAGCTGGATCTGGAATATCCCAGGGAGGAGACTCCAGCCCCTCTCTGGTCTCTGCTCAGGGCTGGGCACTGCCCAGGGCAGAAGTTCTGCCTCATGTCCAGGTGGAACTTCCTGGGATCAGTTCCTGCCCCTTCCTTGTCCCACGGCTGGGCCCCATGGAGCAGAACCTGGTCCATGCTTGGCCGATATTTCCAAACTTTGATAAAATCTTCTCTCAGTTTTCTCTTCTTGACCCCAAAAAGCCCCAGGTCCCTCAGCCCCTCCTGGTGATGTTCCAGTCTCGTTGTTATTTGTGTCACCCTTCACTTCACTCCACCCAGGAGCTCCATGTCTTTCTTTAGAGAAATTAAATTTTCAGATCATTTCCATCTGAAAAATTCTTGCATAAAAGCCCGACTAAACACATACAGAAATGAAGATCAGAATGGTTCCCGACTCCCTGGCTGATGGACAGCCCAGGAATAGGCATGGGGCAGAGGAGACTTTGGGATGGAATTCCTTCTCCTGGGACATTCTGGGAATGGTGCCACAAACTGGGACAATGATGTTTTTAAATGTTATTTTAGGTGAAATTCCTACTCCTGAAAAAATTAATTCCTCAAGAACAGAGAGGGAATAGAGTTCATAAGTAAGATTATAAAATGAATCACGCAAAGTTGGTAGGGCTCTTCCAGGCTCTTCTTTTATTTTGTTCCTCAGAGGAAAAATGGAAATAAAATTGATTTTTATAAAGTTAATCATTTGCTATGAGGAGATGGATCCTTGCTGGAGTAATTTGGATTTTCCATCATAATTCCAGAGTATATTCAAGATTGGACATGATAAACCCCTCATTATAATAATTAATTACACCGGGATAGTGGAAGGTGTCCCTGCCCACGCCAAAGGATTGGGATGAGATGATCCCTAAGGACACTTCCAACCCAAACCATTCTGGAATTCCATCCTAATTTCTGCTGGGATCCAAAGGCTGAAGGGAATCACAGCACTTTATCAATTTTCTCATGTGAGGTCTGCACAGAAAACAGATCAATCAGGGCTGTTCTGGGGGAAATTGGTTTTTCAGTGTCTTTGTTTTTGTGGTTTTCCCTCCAAGCTTTGAGCCTGGAGGGAGCGATCCCTGGCTCTATTTAAATTATCCGCTTGTATATTTTATTCCACGAATGCTGATTTGATTTTTCGGAATTCCACGCTTACGTTGCCGCAAAATCCCATTAAAAAGGAGGAGTTTGATGATTTTTTTTTCCTGTTTTCCTTTATTTTCTTCAATGTAAGACTGTAGTGGGTCTTTGAGGTTCAGATTTGGCTCCAAGAGTTCAACCCCAGTCAGCTCTGATGGACCCGGTTCCTTTGGCCAATGGTTTCTCTTCTGTTAATTCACTTCTGGAAATGAAAAAAAAAAAAAAAAAAAAGGAAAAAATGGGAAAAAATAGAAAAAAAGAAGGAAAAATGCTGTATGGAGGTTCTAAAGCCTTCCCATCCATTGGATTCATCACACATAAACACACTGGGAATGGAATCTGTCCATCCTTCAGTATCATGAGTTTGGTTTAAAATGTTGCCTGTATGGGAAAATTTTATAATCACATTCCCTGGCTTGAAATTCTGTGGGAAATATCAGGTTAACCTGGCTGGAAGTGGCTGCCAGAAAACACAGAAAATTCCTTGGGAAGCCAAACTTTCTACTCCAAAGTGCTTCCAAACATGGAATGTGTGTGAGGGCGTCTATTTACGCACTGAGAGAGACACGCACACAGAAATACACCTCTTTTAAAAGGAGACACACCTCCCCTCCCAAAATCCATTCCCACTGGGAATTTCATTGGCATCAAGGTGCTGATATCTGGGACAAATTCAGACTTCTGTCTTAATCAACAGATAAAATACCTCATGCTGCTTTTGAAGTTTAAAAAATTGGGTTTTTTTTTACACAAGCATTTTATGTCGGATAAAACACGGACCAAAATTTGGAAGAAGTGGATTGTCATCCCAACAAAACTTTGGTTCCTCTCTCAGCGACTCAGCTGCTGAGATTTCCTGTTGTCAACAAATAAATTGGGATGATGCAGATTAGGAGCTCGGTGGGGTGCTGGGAATGTCGCTCCTCCTGCTCCCTCTCCTTCCCTTCCTTTCCATGAATGGTGGTGGAAGCCCAGGCAGGGAAAAGCTCCTTGGGGAGTATCCAAAGCATGGAAGATGTCTGATCCCATCCCAAACGGGCAACCAGAGCCAGTGAAAAATGGCCAAGCTGATGTCGTGAGCAATTTCAGTATTGGCACCTAATTACCACCTCTGAGTGCTGAAAGTCAGTTCCCTTTCTCCAATAAACTATTTCCTAATATCTTTCCTATTAAAAATCTCATTCCCTTATTTTTCTTAAAACTGGTCTAATTTTTTTTTCTCTTTTCTACTGAAACCCATTTTTTTTTCTGCTTAGAATGTAGATTTTAAATAAGTCAAAAATTTTGATAACTGCCAAAATTATTTTGAACAGAAAATACTTTATGAGTTTTTTTTTTCATTAAAAACCATAATATTTTTATGTGAGTGTAAGAACAGAAAGCTCCATAGTGATTACATTTTTGGGTATCTTTTGAGTTAATCTTTTGTTGAAAAAATAAAAATATTGACTCAAAATAACATCTAAAAAGCAGTAACATTCCACATTAAAGAGCACAGACCACCAATAATTCATACAGACCATTGTGGTGGTCCACAAAATAAACATTTGGGAAAGAAAGCAGCAGGAGATCCTAGGAATTTTATGGAAAATGGTCCAACAGAAGTTTTTTCTGCTATTTAACTCTTCATCAAAAGGAAAAGTGCAGTGAACCATGCCTTTGGGGGAAATGTTCCAGAGTGTTGGGAAATTTTTGCTTCCGAAAGAATCCCAAAATCTCTGCAGCTGCCTCAGAGCAATAGGATGACTCTCAGGAAATTTCCTGAGGTTGCCACAGGGGTTTTTCAGTCTCTTCTAAGCTGGAAATTTCAACAATTGCCTCAGAATTAATTAATTTTCAATTGGACCATGAAGTGGTCAAGAACTTGAAAGGAAATCAGATTTTGGCTTTAAAGTCTGGCATCTTCTTAGTTCACCAAACATTCCCCGTTCCATTTTGGGCTCTATTTAATGGCTTTAAACTATCAGAGGCAG